AGCACCTGCCCTCAAGGAACTCATGGTATAATAGAAACTCTACCCAATTGTTAATTCAACAGATACTTCTCAAGCATTTAAGAAGCACCTGCTCTCAAGGAACTCATGGTATAATAGAAACTCCATTCATTGCCTTCTATTACCCGTGGCCTGCAGTTTCCTCAGTCATTTATTCTAGCAGTGCCCCCCTTTCTCCATTGCCCCTGCCAAGATAGGGCCAGGGAGGGGCAAGCTAGAGACAGCTGCAGATTCCTCACTAAGATAAACCACCTGGGGTGAGAATGGGGCGGGAGTATGCGTGAGGAAATGGAGATGTGAGTAGGAAAATGTACCAACTTACTCAGGGAGACTCAGTTGAAACGGAAAAGAATTTCTCTGGCTACACAGAGAATATCTAGTGTCTTTAGGGAGCCCTGGTGGTACAGTGGTTAAGAGCTACAGCTGCGAACCAAAATGTTGGCGGTTCAAATCCACCAGCCGCTCCTTGGAAACCCTATGGGTCCTACAGGGTCACTATGAGTTGGAATCGACTTGACAGCAATGGGTTTGGTTTGGATTTTTCTTTAAGAGACATCGTAGTCTAGGATGTGGACTCTACCTCCAAGTTCCATTCAAGGCACTTGGCCTAAGTGGAACCTAACCACTACTTTAAAAGGAATTTTGAAAAGATGGCATTAAAAAAAGTTTAAAGAACGTTTCACTGGAAGCAGAGCGTTGTACTGGATTTATTTTTAAGAGTGGTTAACTAACTTGAGATGGAAGCCATATAACACCTTCTCGAACCACCAGCTTTGGGGGCTGGTGGCTTTACTTCAGACTTCCTCCTGCCAAGTCTTTCTTTCACAAGTTAGCCTGATTACTCCTTCCCCCTCAGGCTGGCCAGTAGATGATTCCCCCTCCCCAGTAGGAACACAGGGGCCTTTCTTGGGAGTTGGGAGTTCAGTAAGCTGATGCCTGGATTCTGGGCCAAAACCATCCCAGAGCCACCCAATTCCAGTCTACACACCACATGTTTGAGGAAGGATCATGCCTGACTGCTACTCCTGAGAAAACACATTTTGCCCCCTGCAGAGCAGATGCCCACCTTCTGACTCTCCTCCTCTGGGGCGCAGCTCATGAAAGCGGAGTCCGCGTCAGGTTGTTGTTCTTCCCTTCTAGTTTAGCCGGGGAGAGGAAGGAGGCTTTTTTTTTGGTACAATAGAGAGCGCAGCCTTCGAGACGAAGGGTAGTACTGGCTTGGTCTGGGGGATGCTCAGGCCTGGGTGGGTGAGGGAGAAGGAGCACAAGGCTGGGCCAGGGCGGGTGGGCCAGTGTGTCAGGGCCTGATGATCTGTATCTCAGTGTGAGCCAAGAATGAGATCTTTGCTTTATAACGCCAGAGGGGCCATTTCCTAGTTTACCCGATGTTACTTTTCGAAGACTTTCTAAAGCCATTTTTCCTTCACCTAATAGCACTCTCGTCTGTTATTTTCACTTTTAGTTTCTCGATCACCTGAGGTCAGAGGAGTATCTTTACCTTATCATCAGAAACCACAGTGGAGAAGATGACGTGCCCTGCCTCAATTAGGGACAGAGTTCAGTCCTCTGAGTCCCAGTTCGCTTCAGCCAGTGGCTCTTTCAGTCAGACTGACTGTGGATCCGGCTATTCGACTTGGGGGCAGGAATAGATTTACTTCCATCTGTATTTTTGTCCACAGCAGTGCCTGCAGATGCAAGTGAACCAGCCGTCTCTGGGGTCACTGCTCTCCTACGTGGGCACCCACCCAGCTGCAGGGACCCTTCCTCCCAGCCCTGACGGAGAGGCCACCCTCCCCAGAATCCATTACCTGCCCCACCCCGGGTCAGTGCAGCTCACGCAGCCTGGAAGTGGAACCCAGAGACGTGGCTCAGAGTGAGTGCCTAGCAGTCCTGCAGACCAGTGAGCTGTGGGACTACTGGGGCCCAAGTAGCACAGGTGCTGATGTACAAACCCTCCTCCTAAGTGAGCAGACAAGGACCCCCACAGATCCTCCCAGAAGTCTTCCTGACACAGCCCTGCCCTTTACTGCTTACCCTCAGGAACTCTGGTGAGGCCAGTGGACTGGAGCCACCTAGACGGATGAGTAGGCCAGCCAGCCTTTCTCAGAACCTCACAGGGCAGCCTGTGGCCCTGGGACAAGGTGCTGCCGCACATGAATGCAGCGGCCTCACCTCTAGGTCACAAGGAAGACCCTCAAGAGTGTGTGGAATTGATTACCTTGTTTTCCTAACACCTCCCAGGCCTTGCCTAGCCACAAAAGGAGCCATTGGGACTGGCTGCTGAAAGGTGCCATTTCGAGTGTGCCAGGCTCTCCTTGAGGTAACTTTGTTGTTGTTGTTAGGTGCCCTCGAGTTGGTTCCAACTCATAGCGACCCTGTGTACAACAGAAGGAAACACTGCCCAGTCCTGCGCCATCCTCATGATCATTGTGATGCTTGAGCCCATTGTTGCAGCCACTGTGTCAATCCATCTCATTGAGGGTCTTCCTCTTTTTTGCTGACCCTCTACTTTACCAAGCATGATGTCTTTCTCCGGGGACTGGTCCTCCTGATAACATGTCCAAAGTATGTGAGACGAAGTCTTGCCATCCTCGCTTCTAAGGAGCACTCTGGCTGTACTTCTTCCAAGACAGACTTGTTCATTCTTCTGGCAGTCCATGGTATATTCAGTATTCTTCGCCAACACCATAATTCAAAGGCATCAACTCTTCTTCAGTCTTCTTTATTCACTGTCCAATTTTCTCATGTATATCAAGTGACTGAAAATACCATGGCTTGGATCAGGTCCTCAAAGTGACATCTTTGCTTTTTAACACTCTAAAGTGGTCTCTTCAGGAGATTTGCCCAATGCAACACGTCATTTGATTTCTTGACTTCAGCCATTGTTAAGTCTTCCCGAACAGCAGCAAAGTAAAAAAAAATCCATTCTTCTGTGAGGATGAAACAAGATGTGAGGAGCCACTGTTAGAGACTACAAGTCACTTATGAACCCATCCGAACAGCTGCCAAGCGCCAAAGCAGTGGCGCAGACCTCATCACTCCAGGAGGGCACCGCCTTCCAGCTGGAGCGGTCAGGACCCACTCCAAATAGCAGGTTTAATTAGAGTGAAGTCTCCAGGCCCAGGTAGCCTGTGGAATGGAAGGGGGTGGCCCCAGAAAGCGATCAGGATGAGCAGAAGGCAGCAGAGGGCCCAGCAAGCAGTGAGCAGCCTGCGCAGGCTGGAGCCAGGGCTTGGGGGAACAAGGCCAGGTTGGGGCCAGACTGTGCAGGACTTTAAATGTCAGGCTAAGGAATTTGTCAGGGGAATGAGATGATCAAACAGGTGTTTTAGGAAGATGAATTTGAAGAGAATGTGCAGGATGAATTGGAAAGCCTGGAAGCATGGCGACAATTAGAAGGCTGTGAGATTAATTGGGCCGGTTTGGTAGTCCTGTGTGAGCTGATAATGTGTAAATGAGTGCGGTGGTGGCAGAAATGGAAAGGGACAGCTGCAGGAGACATTGTTAAGACAGAATGGATGAGGTTTGCTGCCTGATTGGACCGGGGACCCGGGGAGCTCAAGGAATCAAAGATGACACCAGAGTTTTGAGTGCGGGCAACTGGTAGTACAAGGAACAGAAAAAGGGATGTGGGAAGAGGGAGCTGGTTTCAGCAGATATGAATTCAGTTTCAGACAGACAGAGTTTGCAGGACATCCAAGTGGAAACGTCTGACAGGTGACTGGCAATGTACCAGCAGAGCACGGGAGAGAAGCCAGAGTAAATGATGAACTTGGGACTCGAACGCAAAGAGGGGATATATGAAGCCATGCTGTGGACGAGAAGCATGTACAGTGACACAGAGGACCTGAGGGCAGCTGCTGAGGAATGTCCACACCTAAAGGATTTCTATGGCAAAGCTCAGTTTAGAAGTGCCACCCTACGTGCGGGGCGTCATCACTGTTAAACAAATACCAAAGTATTGATCAGTCTGAGGAAGCCAAGCAATACAGCTCTTTTATGTCTCCATAGGTACTAAACTATAATTTAAACACCTAAGTGTGTCGCTAAAATCAACCTGGCTCAAGTAAAGGCTGGTATTCATGGAGGAAAAAAAAAAGATAAATGATACATGAAAATAATCCAGAAGATTAGCACATTTGATCCCACAAGGATGAATCAAGCAATGAAAAAAACTTGCGACAAATACCCTATAAATAATATTTATTAGAGAAAAGTAGGTTTATGCTCATTTTAACACAAGGACCAGTACACCATCTTCCTAAAGTACACATTCAAACTAACTCATCAAAGTATTTTTCATAAAAGCTACGTACCTGATTTAAGTATAAATATTCATAAAGAAAAGTTAATCTAGGAAAGCTACTCAGAGTACAGTAATCCACACTGGACGGAGTATGCAAACAAAACATTTTTTCTTTTCCTAGTGTACACTCCCCCGCATTTTTACATATATATTTACTGTACGTTAAATTTTTTTGATAGCCACTTAAAAAATATTATAGCTTTGAATTATAGGACTAACAGTGACCTTAAGTCCTATAAAGAGAAATACCTTTGGAATTGTGTATTGTTAAAATTTTTCTTGGTGCTTTTTTTTACTTTTAATGTTTATTTAACACAACATGTCTAAATTATCATGTAATCAAAATAAAAAAGTATTTTTTTCCATAAGTCTTAGAAATCTGGTGTGACCTTTTATACTTACAGCGTTTCTAATTTGGACTTGCCACATTTCAGTGTTTGGTAGATACCTGTGGCTAGGGGCTACTGTACTGAACAGTGTAGCTCCAGATATACAGGAATGTGATACATAGATTTTTTTTCCAGCACCAAAACCAAAAAGCCACTGCCGTTGAGTCGATTCTGACTCATGACGAGCCCATGTGCTTTGAGTAGAACTGTGCTCCACAGGGTTTTGTCTGTAATCTTTTTTTAAATTGTGTATTAGGTGAAAGTTTACAGAGCATATTAGTTTCCCATTCAATAGTTTGTACATAAAGTGTTTCATGATCTTGGTTTCATTCCCCACAATATGTCAGCACTCTCCCTATTTCCACCCTGGGTCTTTCTTGCTTTTAATATGGTACGTGCAACAGTACAGTTTAACAGCATAGCAACTGTTGTTTCATGACTTCGTAATAACTCTTGAAATAACAGACTCAGATTTTTAACATGTTTTTGTATTTAACATGTTTAATTATACTTTCTTCTAAAACATAACAAATGTAGTTAACATGCATCAAAAACACGTAAAAGATAGAAGTCATAACATCCTCCTTCTCTTTGGACATCTGACTTATAAAAAACACGAACAACTTTTGAAAAACAGAATATACAAATTATACAAAATGGGATAAATATAAAACTAACATACAGTTATTCAGAAGATACGGGTTTTAGCTGTTTATAGGTTTACATAAGGTGATGGAAGCAGTTTCTAATAGTATGTTAATCAAAAAAATATATATAGAATTGCTAGCTAGTCTTAGAGATACTACATATACATACAAGAAAATAAAGATGGAGAGTCAAGCAAAACTTACAAGCTTGGTAACTTCTCACTCTGGACGTTCTGAATACACCTAAAAATTTCAGATAGGCTATCACCCCTACTAAAGAAGGCAACTGTTGAAATAACACAATATTACTGAATAGTGAAATTTGAGTTGTTTAAACCAAAAGCAGTGAACATTTCTCTTGCTGTCCTCAGACCCTAAACTAACACCCAAACAATTAAATTCTACCAGCTAAATTTAATCCAGTAATGCCAATATTGCTGAACCTCTTTTAACATTTAAAAATATATTACTTAGAAATTAATCTCATTTATTTGCATACGAGCCTTGGGCTGACTTTCAGAAGACTGGGGAAATACAGAGATAAAAATATTAAATGAGCAATTTGCTTGTTTCTTTCTAAGTATTTACACTAAGTAACATGACTGGAAAGCTGAAAAAAAAATTGGAATATGTCATTTAGGGGTTACAAAAAAGGACTCTTATTTAATTAAGGAAGAACTGTACTGCTGTTGGTCAACACAAATCTGAAGGGCTGGGGTTTCCTAGGCAGCTGAAAAATCTGAAATGCGATAAAAAATCGAAGGTACTATCTCTTGGTAAGGAAGATACAGTACATATTTCCACAAGGAAGTCTCATAACAGCTAATTTTTTGTTAAATCTAAAGAGTTTGTAACATATACACATATGCATCATATTTCAGAAGAGGCAGTGACTAAGAGACGCTTAAAATCAGCAATTTCTGGTTCAAATAAAAGTCCCAATATCTGGAACTAAATGACCCACTACTCGCCAAAAATCCACAAAATATTCACACCGGATAGACCAAGATTAACTCTCCTACAAAGAGACAGAGAGAGAAAAAAAAAAAGTTTTAGTGGAATTGATTGCCAAGCATTTTTTCCTAATAACTGAAACAAGAGACTTTACAAGGAATACATGTTTGATGATGTTTAATGCTATTCTGCAATGGATTATGTTACACAGGTTTATCAAGTGAATTCTAGTAACAGGAATTACTTTAACTGACACTGTGCTTAAAACCCAAATTTAGAATAAATGGATTTATGGAGTGTTAAAAATGAATTTTTCAGTGGACTTCAAGAACTATTACACCAGGTTAACAGAGAGAGCTAACAAAACAATCTTAGTAAGAAGAAAGATTAAAGGGCAAATTAAATTTACAAAATGGAGGCTATAGAGATGTTAGGCCTCTCAGAGAACTGACTTGAGTTAGGAATTTACTGATTACTAGGGATGCTTTAATGAAGCTCCCTGTGTGTGTTATTACTATATTTTAAACTAAACCATACTGTATATACCAAAATGAAAAATCTACTTCTACTCTAGAGAGTAATGTAACTGCACTGAAAGTACGGGAGAAGGTGAAGAGGGCTAGAAGAGAGAGAAATTACTCAGCTAAGAAAATAAGAAATCAGCAGACAATGTTCAAAACTGAAGAATCAAGAGAAAGCAGCACACTTCAAACCTGGAACTGAACCCACTCCCTATAAAGTGAACAGTAATACACGTGAGGAAGGTACACTTCATGACAATCAACCATACGAGACCAAAAGGGCAGCATTTGCCCAGAAATAAAGTTCAGAAGGCAGGAAGGGGCAGGAAAGCTGGGCAAATAGAAACGGGGAAGCCAGTGAGGAAGGGGGAGAGTACTGACACACTGAGGGGGTTGCAACTGATGTTATGAAACAAGCTGTGTATAAATTGTTGAACAGGAAACTAATTTGCTCTGTAAACTTTTACATAAATCACAATAAAATGTTAAAAAAAAAAAAAAGAGAGAGCAGCATATATCTACTGTTATGGAACAATGAAAGTAACACCAGAAGAAAATGCTTAAAATGGTTGCCTTTGGGAAGTGCAGCTGGGGAATACAGTGAAGTGCTATTTTTTGTCATGAAGTTTTAGCACTATATGGCTTTTTAAATTGTATGTATTAACTTCGAGAAAATATTAAAAATATAGATATATTACCAAATACACTTCAGAAAGGGTAACTGTTTTCTCTTTTCTTCACATACTCACCAACACTGAATAATTAACCTCAATTTGACAGACAAAAAGTTTCAATTTTTGCTTGTTTATATATGAGGCTAAATATCTTTTTTTTATATTTTTTAGCCATTTACACAAATTTTTTTTGTAAGTTGCTTATTCACAACTCTGCCCATTTTTCTACATAGTTTCGTTTCTAATTAATTTATATGTGTTCTTTATATGTGACAGATATTAACTTGTGTGCTATATATAATGCCACTATAATGCTTTCTCTTAGTTTGTCATTTACCTTTAAGCTTTATTTACGGTGCCTTTTGCTCAACAGAGTATTTAAATTACTGTGCAGTCAATTCTGTCTAGATTTTTTTTCCCCCTTTTGGAAGTAAAACATTCATCTCATTCCAGTAACTGCATAAATATCTGGCATTGCTTTGATAACATATTTGGATCAATCTGCTGCTTTATGGGCAGGATTCCAAATGGACTATATTTGAACCATTCATTTATTTCCTTTGAATTACAGGATAGTAGTTTTTAACCATTTGATTGTTTTAGAATGTACTAAAAAGATTACTCAGTTGTATTAAAAAGGTTAATGATTTCAAAGTTTTTTTTTCCCTTGGTTAAAAAACAAACCAAACAAATAAAAAAAATACATTATTAATTTTAGTTTAAAAGGTTTCCTTAGTTCCCACATATAAGTTGCTCACTAGGAGAAGATAAACACTT